GGGGGGGGGGGGGTATTAACTAGCTACAGCCAATACAGTAACCGCAGTTAACCTAAGTTATCAGACAGATCCATATCACGAACGAAGTACGAGTAGCTCAGTAGCTGCAATGAACCTGCAGTGTAAACCGGCGAGTCCTTAATCATTATGAAAAAGAAAAAAAGAAAAGAAAAAACTTGGATCACTGATAAATCTGAAGTTGTGAAATTCAATTGATATCATTAGATCACCGCCATAAGATGGAGATATCTCAAGCTTGTCAAGATGTGGCGATCATGGACGTCGAGCTCTCTCATGCATGCGTGTGCGTCTGTATGGAGACGATGGTAGGAATCCATGGCTGAGATGAGTTTGCCTGAGACTCAAATGATCGGATATACAAATATATAAATACAGTCGGCAGCTACTCCGAGAGAGCAAATCAAGGCCGTGACGGTCGTTGTTTATGCCGAAAAAAAAGAAAGAAAGAAAGAAAGAAAAAAAAGTGCAGCTGTCGTTGGAGGGGCTGGAGAGAGACAGTGCATGTGGTCAGACCTTCTTCGGAGTTAAAGCCGCCACTCAAAACCGCTACCTCATCTAGCAGACTACCGTCTTCACCCGAATAGAACGCCGCCCGGTTATTATAGCTGTATCTGGACTGAAACGTGCACCAAAAAATACGGCTATAATGACCGGGCGTTCTATTTGGGTGAAGACGGTAGCAGGTAAACGAGCAGGCACAGAGCAAAGGAACAATGTCATGTAGAAGGGAAGAGGAGCAGGAAAGGGAGACCCTGTTGGCAACCTGGCCCTCTGCTTACAAGGGTCCCATCCACTCCAAAAAGCATAGGCAGCAGGAGACGAGAGATGGGAGACAGGAAATTTAAAGGAAGAGAGAGGGAAACGAGGGAGGAAAAGAAGAAGAAGAAGAAGAAGAAGAAGAAGAAGAAGAAGAAGAAGAAGAAGAAGAAGAAGAAGAAGAAGAAGACAAGGCAGAAGCAGCAGCAGCAACAGAAGAAGAAGAAGAAGAAG